ATATACTATTTTAAACAACAATGCTATGAAATCATCAGTTATCATAAATGATGAGATTTTTCATAGAAACCACGGAAAAAATTGTAGAGAAATCTATGCTGACATTGTCTAAGGAAGTTGAATGTAATACAGAAGATAATTTGCAGCCTATAGCAAATATTGCTCACCCATATATTATCAATGAAGTAAATATTTTTTCTGCAACTTCTAAGAATACAATTTGGATTATTGATACAGTCGCATATGATCATATGACTCGAGACTTTGGTAAGTTACAATCCATTTGTTTATCTTCTCAATCCATTATATCTAGTGCTAATGAGAGTACAACTCCTATTATTAGATAAGAATCTGTCATATTGTTCAATACACTTAGTTTGGATACAGTTCTTATTGTCCTATCTTTTGAATACAACTTTTTATCTGTGAGCCAAATTACTTTATCCCTTGATTGCATAATAACTTTTTTGCCTTTTTTTTGTGTATTTCAGGATATTCTGACCCAAAAAATTCTTGGTTATGGTATTAAATGAGGCAAACTCTACTACTTGAAATTGACAAAAAATGGGGAACAAAAAATTAGTCATGCATGTCAAAATAGTAGTGAAGAGAAAGCTCGAACAACTATATGGTTATGACATAGAAGATTGGGGCATTTTTTTTTTAAATATCTTCAAAAATTAGAACCACATTTGTTTTTAAACTTGGATGTTTCTGATTTTCATTGTGATATTTGTGAACTGGCTAAAAGGCATCATATTCCTTACTTACCTAGTATGAATAAATGTTATGAACCTTTTGTTGTCATACACTCTAATATTTGAGGCCTGCAAAGGTTCCTTCTATCTCTAAAGCTTTATATTTTGTTACATTCATTGATGAATGTATTAAAATAACTTGATTATCCTTACTTTAGAGAAAAAATGATATTTTTATAGCTTTTCAAACATTTCATAGTGTGGTGGGAACTTAATATCAATGCCAGATTCGTATTTGATAATCTAACATTATAAAAGAGCTTGTTGGTGGAGGTGGTTCGTGCATCACTTTTTGATATGATTATGCTTCAATTCTATTGGAGTGAGACTGTAAAATCTACTGTTTATTTAATCAATTAAACACCTTCCAATGTATTGAATTTCCAAACATCACAACAAAAGATGCAATCTTTTTTTTTACATTCCACATGTTCCAAATGTTGAACTCAGAGTTTTTGAATGTACTGTCTATGTTCAGATTCCTAAGAATCTTTGAAATAAACGTGATCGGTGTGCAAAAAAGATGTATTTTTATTGGTTATTCTGATTTTCAGAAAAGACATCGGTGTTATGATCCTCAAACTCAGAAATTACATATGACACTAGATGCATCTTTTTGCGAAGCAGAACCTTATTACTCAAGGAGAGTTCATACATCTCTTCTAGGGGAGAAATCTGAAGAAGAAAATAGGTTGCAAGAAAAAGAAGTAAAAGAGATGAAGATGGTTTTTTTTAGGTGGAAAAGATGCATGAAAATGTTGGGAAAATTAGTTAAGAAAATTTGGCAAAGAATGGTAATGAACTGATGGTTCGTTTCGAAAATATGTCAGAATTACCAGTAGTTACATATTTGCCTTTGATAATACCATTAATCGAAGAATTAACTCAAAATATCAAAAATACTTCATCTCAGGTAACTCCAAATCCTATAACTAATGAAATAAAAATTTCTTCTGAATTTATGACTCCTAGATATATACAAAGATTTAACAAATGTGTTCTAAAAAAGCGATACAAACCAGATCCTAAAGTCAGTTAAATATTCTATTAACAATTATATCTCTACTCATAAGTTATCTTAGTCATATGCATTTATTATTGATCAATTATTCGAAGTTTCTATTTCTAGTAGCGTGCAGAATGCATTACAAAATCTAATGTGGAAAAAGGCAATGAATGAGGAGATGGAGGCTTTGCAAAAAAAATTCCACATGGGAACTAGTTCCATTACCCAACAAAAAAAAATTATTAAGTGTAGATGTGTGTACACAGTGAAACTTAAAGCATACGGAAGTATCGATCGATATAAGATGAGACTAGTTGCAAAGAGGTATAGGTAAAAATATGAGGTAGATTACTAAGAGACATTTGCATCAGTAGCTAAACTGAATACAATTCACATTCTCTTTTCTATACCAGCAAATCGAGACTGGCCCTTGCAATAATTTGATGTTAAGAATATGTTCCTTAATGGAAACTTAGAAGAAAAAGTTTATATAGAGCTGCCACCAAGACTTATACAAAAAATTTTAGGCAAAAATAAAGTCTGTAAATTAAAAAAGTCATTGTATGGACTTAAACAGTCACCAAGAACATGGTTTACAAGGTTTTCTACAGCAAGTAAAGCTTTTAGTTATAAGTAACGTAATTCATATGATACTTTATTTATAAAATATATGTAAGGACTTAAGTAAAGAGATTAATCTTATTAAACTTGGATTAGATAAAAAAATAAGAGAACATGCAGGCCATTCTAGCAAGATATCTGAGTTGGTGATAGCCCCCAAATTTTTATTATGCATTGTTAAGTTGAAATTGAGAGTAATGATCGAACAATCAATCTTATACTCGTGTTGATGGTTTTTTGAAGTTGGATGAATTCCCAGCTTCTTTCTCGTAAATGTTATGCATGGAAATTTTCCATTTACATATTTCTAAAAGCGATAGAACCCCTAACGAGATGAGGTAGATCTATGCAAATAATAAACAGGATGATTATGTATGCAGCTTATAATTATCTTAGTGATAGGATTAGTATAAGCTTAACCGTCATTGAAAGAACATTTGGGTTCTTTCTGTTCTTGAAAAAAAGTTAAATAATTCCTCTGGCTACTTTTTTAAATGCCTCCTCATTTATGAGGAAATGAGGAGAAGACATTTTAAGTAAGATGACTAATGCTCACACGACCGTCGGTATAGTGAGAGCCTCCTGCATGTTTTCAGGGATTGCCCAACATTAAGGTAGGTTTAAATTGACTTAATTGATTCTAAATATTCTAACATGTGTCTATCATCCCTTTTGGCAGGTGGATCCAAATGGGAATTTGGAGGGAAACAAGTCATCATGGCATTGGAAGTTGGAAATCTATATCCACCACCACTGCTTTGGTTATGTGAAGGAGACTAAACCACTTTGTGCATGGTAAGAATGAGACTTTCATGATCCCCTATAATCTAGATAGCACTAACTTGGCCCTAGAGTTTCAGACTACAAATAGTAGGAGCTTTGAAGACCTTTACATGTATTTTTGCATCCGTAGCCCTGATGTGGGATGGTCGACACCTTTATATGACTAGTTCAACCTTAATACGGATAACTCAACCTTGATGGACCCTAATGGACCTATTACTGGTGGTATCAGTCATGATAATTATATGTGGTAGGAGACAGCCTTTACGTGTAACCTTAGTCAAATTTGTTTAATGATTGTTGAGTTTATTACTACTCTAAAAGGTTTCTAAGACAAGGGAATTAAAAAAGTAATTCTCAAATTTGATTGACTTAGCCTTAAACAAATCCTCTAATGCTATAATAATTTATACCTCTGTGATTGAGACCCAAATGAGAATCTCTCATCCATAAATATTCACATTTCTCATATTTTTTAGGAGGTGAACTCGTGCATCGATCGTCTTGTTAGGTAGACGCACCACATTTCTAAGCGATACTGTTCACCTTTCTCAAACTCCAAAAGGACCTCAAACCTTATACTGAATTGGATATCTAGGACATTGCTTGGGTTTGCTTAACTCTCTCTAATATGTAACTTTATTCTTTATTCCCTTTGGGAAAAAAAAAAAAAAGAAAGAAAAGGAAGAAATAAATTTTTCTTTTTACATGCATGCCATTCTGTCATAAAGACTTATAATATATAAATGATTGTGTTATGCTTTGTTAATATTTGATATTCTGTTGCATAATTAAAATTACTTTTTTGAAAAAATTTTCTTTTGAAATACAAATTTATATATTTATTTACTTTTTTATTTTCCTTACCTGCCTTCCGTTTTATTTTTCTTTCTATTTTTTTTATTTTTTTCATTCCCTTCTTGTATTCAAATAGGTCGGGAAATCTCGCATTGACGATGAAGTCTTCATAAAATTAATCTACAATTTCTAATAATTCCATGTTTTAGTTATTAAATTTTAATAAATAATATATAATCTACACGATTTAAATATGTCCATACTAATTAAATTAGTTTTGAATATTAAAAAATTTAATAAATCACATTTTACTCCAGTACAGTTCAAATATGTCATGCAAAATTTATAATAATAATATATTGGTTGCTCTTAAAATTCTTTTAAGGAAATTCGTAATACATATATTAAGTGGGTTTTTGTACAAGAGAGAAAAAAAAGTTGGCTTTTAAAATCAAAAGACAGAGCCGAGGGAAAAGGGGTTTGAACCAAATTAATCTACTCAGATGAAGAAGTATACATATATCCAACGGGCCGAAATAGAAATTAATTTTTACGAAACTTCAATTTATATAAATACAATTATAACGTTTATTATTTTACTTATGACATATATATATATATATTTACACGTGTATAGGTTTATTAGATGATAAGTTTGAGTTTTCCTTGAACAATATATTAGTATACGTATCCAACTATCCAAGACTATATATCTCTCTTGAAGACAAGGTGCATAACTTATCTAAAGTTTTTTTTTTAAATATACTATAGTGGTTAATAAATATATTTAAATTTCTTAATTATATCAACGTATTAAGTAATTATACAAACTCTTAATTTACTACTAAAATTAAAATAATAACCCACAAATATTTTGACAAATTTACTAAATTTTGAAATATATTAGGTTAAAAATCAATTTTAATAATTTCACTACATTTAGACATAATAAATTTAAAGCCTAAAAATAAAATATACATTAATTAGCGTATATATATATATATATATATATCTATATATACACACACACACCCATTAAATATTTTAAATAGTAATTAATAACAAGTTGGTGCCCTTTGGTCTTTATTTATATATAAGAGGGTCACGTAGTTGGCAGATATATATTGATCCAAGTAAAATACATAACGGATTAACACAGCCTGGTACAGAAACAGCGGCGGCGAAATCCTCGGCATTTACCGCCGGAGAAGCCTTCTTTCTGGCAGACCACAGCGCAGTTATGGTGACTTAAGCATGCACCGTGAAAACCGTGGCTCTGAGACTGACACGTCCTGCCTTCCGTCATCATTTCTTCCTCTGCAAAATTAACCAAACACCCCAACTTGAAAATTTTTATTATTACCATATAATATATAATACGTATATCTATGTGTGTGTGTGTGTGTGAGTGAGTGAGAGAGAGAGTGTATAATGAAGTCGAGTGAGAAAGAGAGTTACGAGAAGCAAGAACAAGAAGCAGAAATAGCAAGAGGCCCGGCGAGTTTCTCGCCATGTTCGCTTTATGATCTGCAATTGAGCCTTCATTGATACATATACATATACATATATATATAGACAGTAACAAGAATAGGTGGAAGATGGAGATGCGTAAATGGGTTCAATGTCGGTGAGGATGAGGACGTGCTGCTACCACGTCGTGCATGAATGATACTTGTGGATTTCTGGTTCCAACATTTGGCTAACTAACAACCAGTAACTAAAATAATTTCATTTCAAGCTAAAAGGCACGACACGATGTCGTTTCGTGATATATTAAACTGGAAATATGTCAATAAAATGTGATTAATAATTAACTTATTGAGCAAATAATTTTTGTGTGGTGTTTTTATTTTGTTCTGCATCAACAATGTGATTAAAATATTTAGATATTTGTTTTTTTATTTTTTATTTTATTATTAACAAAAATAACCTTAAAAGCTGATAGATGAAATTAAAATGTGAAATTTTGACATGTTGTAGATAATATTAATATTTTTGAGGAAATAGTTTTCATTTTTTATTTATTATAAATTAATACTCACATCACAGTACAATGCACATATTTCTCAATTCATCCTACAAAAAAGTTCCCATGTTATTCTCTTCAAATAACTACATTACATTAATCCATTATTATTATTTTTTAAATATATATATATATATATATATATAGTAGATAATTCTAATTTTATAGATAGTATAAAGCAATTCATTTTATAAAACATTTTGAAACGAGCTCATGATGTCTGCCTCTACTGATGTACAACCAGGATTACAGAGGATCCCAGGTTGTCCTCCCTTTCAACGGTCCGATTTTCTTTTCCATAAACCAACGGTCTGATTTACGTCACTTTCTTTTTGCAACTTACAGCTTACAACTGGGACCCCACCCGCAACGCCAGCACAACGTGCCGGCACGCACGCCGATGATTACTATGCCATGCCCGTTACACACGGCAAAGATTGTGTCCTTCTCTCTATTTTATTTTATTTTTTTAAAAAAATAATAATAATAATAATTGAATAAATTTAAACTAAATATTTGAAAATTAAATAAACAAATTTAATTCATTAATTTAAATTTTTTAGAGTGAGATCATAAATTTTTTTTATTTTAAATAAAGTTTTTTAAAAAATTAATTATAATAAGTAATAATTATTAGGAGAATAACCTGACAGCTGAAAAATACAAAAAAAGTAGATAATAAAAAAAAACGGATGGGAAAGTAGGACCCAACCAGAAAGAATGGTTAGGCAAAATCCAAGCTGGCTTATTTGAGTTTGACAGTTTGTTTCTCTGCTCTTTAAAAACCCACTTTCTCTTCCCCATCTCCTCAGTCGTATCCTTCTTCTTCTTCTTCTTCTTCTTCTTGTTTAACAGTTTGGAATCAGAACTCCATGGCTGACGAGCAAGTTCAGAAGACAATTGAAGCACCAGTTGAGCAGGAGGTTGTGGTTGTGGCTGATGTAACAGACGCGCAGACTACTCCCGCAACCGCACCACCTCTTGACAAACACCCATCGCCTGTCACTGAAGAAGAAGAACCTCTCAACCCAAACCAGGTTCGCGACGACGATAAGGTTCCTCAATCGAATTCTTTTCAAGAGGAGAGCAATCGAGTTGCTGATCTTCCTGATAATGAAAAGAAAGCTCTTCAAGAGCTCAAGCAGCTTGTCCAGGAAGCTCTCAACAACCGCGAGTTTAGCAGAGTAGCAGAAGCTGTTGCACCCAAAGAAGAGGAGAAGAAAGAGGCTGCTGCTGAGGTGGTCACAGAAGATGAAGTTGTTGCTGGTGAAGCTAAAGAGACAGAGAAACAAGAAGAAGGAGAGAAAGTCCAAGTGGTTGAAACAGAAAAGGTAACTGCAACTCCTTCTAATGCTGATGTTGTGGATGATGATGGTGCCAAGACTGTTGAAGCCATTGAAGAGACTATCGTAACAGTCTCCACTTCTTCTTCTTCTTCTTCTTCTTCTTCCGTTCAACAGGATCATCAGCAGCCAGAAGCAGCCAATGAAGCAGAGGCAGATCCTGCTTTGGAAGAAAAAAAAGAGGCTAAAACAGAAGACGCATCCATCTGGGGCATACCTCTTCTTGCAGACGAGAGGAGCGACGTGATTCTCTTGAAATTCTTAAGAGCAAGAGACTTCAAGGTCAAAGATGCGTTCACGATGCTCAAGAACACGCTGCGCTGGAGAAAGGAGTTCGGCATTGATGAACTGATTGAGCAAGACATGGGCTGCGATGAGTTGGAGAAGGTTGTATTTATGCATGGCCAGGATAAGGAAGGACACCCTGTTTGCTACAATATCTATGGAGAATTCCAAAACAAGGAGCTTTATCAGAAAACTTTTTCTGATGAGGAGAAGAGGCAGAAATTCTTGAGGTGGAGAATTCAATTCCTTGAAAAGAGTATTAGGAAACTAGATTTCAACCCAGGTGGCATTTGCACCATTGTTCAAATCAATGACCTCAAGAATTCTCCTGGACCCGGTAAATGGGAGCTTAGACAAGCGACCAAACAAGCCCTTCAATTGCTCCAAGACAATTATCCAGAATTTGTAGCCAGACAGGTAAATTAGTTTCTTTAGTTTTTTACCCTTTTCTACTATATATATATATATATAATATTTGAATTCACATGTTGGGTTGATCTAGATTTTGTTTGATTTTTAAACTTGTGTGTTTTAGGTGTTCATCAATGTGCCATGGTGGTACCTAGCAGTGAACAGAATGATTAGTCCATTTTTAACCCAGAGGACGAGAAGCAAATTTGTCTTTGCCGGTCCTTCCAAATCTGCAGAGACACTTTTGAGGTTAGTTCATAAAAATATTAATCTCTCAAGTTTTGTCCTTTCAGAATATGTTATTAATGTGGTGAAGCGGCATCGTGTATATGCCATGCCCTCTTTTAGGTACATAGCTGCTGAGCAAGTACCAGTCAAGTATGGAGGTTTGAGCAAAGACGGTGAATTTGACACAACAGACGCTGTAACCGAGATTACTGTAAAACCAGCAGCTAAGCACACGGTAGAATTTCCAGTTACTGAGGTGGGTCTTCTTTTTTCTCTTTTAACTCATTCTGGGTCCTTTCAAAAAACCTTTTTTGGAATCCAAAGAAAGAAAAAGACATGATTTCTTCATAGGGATTCTCTAACTCCATTGCTGCTCTTCATTGGATTCTGTGGTCCTTTTTAGCAACTTCTCTCTTCTTAAACTTATTTTACTAAAAACTCAGAAGTACTAGCTGTTGTTTCTTGAAATCACCTTTGTTGTGGGCACATATATATGGGGTAATAAGATATAAGGGTAAAATGATTTTGGTGATGCAGACATGCATGCTGACATGGGAGGTGAGAGTAGTTGGATGGGAGGTGAGTTATGGAGCTGAGTTTGTACCGAGTTCTGAAGAAAGCTACACAGTGATAATACAGAAGGGTAGAAGAGTTGGATGGAATGAAGAACCAGTGATTTGTAACTCGTTCAAGATTGGGGAAGCAGGCAAAGTAGTTGTCACAATTCAAAATCCGACCTCCAAGAAGAAGAAGCTCTTGTATCGCTTGAAGATCAAACCTTGTTCTGATTGAATCATTTTCAACCAAGTCTCAATAATTTTTGCTCTCGATAATTTGTAGAAAAGGTGAGGTACAACAACATTAATCATTTGTTTTCGAGTCTTCTTTAAATTTAGTGTTATATATATATGAATGTGTATTCATTTTATATAAATGAAAATTTCAAGTTGGATTGTTGGTTTGTGACATAATTCGTATTTCCGTTGGTGGAACAATTCAACATATGGGGTATTTTTTTAACCTAATTAACTGAAATTAATTGAACAAAAAATTTACACTACTTTTAATTTTAATTAACAAGAAGACACTTCAATTTGTTCAATAACTTTACTTGAACTTGAATTAGATAATTTTTTGTTTTTGAAATAAAAGTAAGAATAATAAATATATATATATATATATATATATATATCTTCAAAATAAAATTAAATGATAGATAAATTTTTGAATTGTGGGCGGGGGAAATTTGTTTTCTATTATTGTTATGGAAAGCAGAGAGAATCATTAGAAGTGAAAACATGTGGGGGGGACTCAATATTTTTTTATCTAGAGAAAAAAAAGGTGTTATGTTTTTGACTCGCCAACATAATTAATGCTGCCTGCTATTGTAACACAAATTCTTCTTTCCTATTATATCATACGAATACTTTCCTAATTTTGTTGGAAAAGAATTAATTTACAGATAAATGAACCTCGTTGTCATCATAAAAGCATTCTTCTTTTTCTTTTTCATCACCCACCATATATATATATATATATATATATATATTCTTTTTCTCTTTAAAGAAAACATGAAAAGCTTAATTAATAATAATAATGCCATTTTTTTGAAGCTTTTTAAGGCGTGAATTTTTTTTAAAGAAGATTAAATAAATAAAGGGTGTTTGATGATTATGATCAAACCACTTTTCTTGAATTTTTATTCTATTTCCCGACGGGCGAGAAACCCCTTCTTTTTATAAGTCTACAAAAATAATATAGACAATTGATATTCTTAGTTTCTTCTTCTCTTGGGAGAAAATACTTTTAACCAACTATATATATATATATATGTGTGTGTGTGTGTAGCGAATTGAATAAAATAGAAGCAAGAGGTATAAGTAATTAATTTGTACAACAGTCCAAGACGAACTATATTAGGATGGTGAATTTGTGTATGTATGAGCTATTTATTATTTGAATTTACTTGAATGAAAGAGATTATAGAAGAATTTTAAGAAATAGATCTCTACTGAAGAACAATAATATCACGACATTTTCCAATAAAAATTTTTAGTTGATTTATTATTCTTCTAAATCATGATTTTCTACTTCTAGTTTCTACAAGTACACGAGAATTTGGGAGATGTATATTTTCTCACTTACTATATATATATATATATTGAAATAAGAATTGATGAATTTCAAAAATAATTATTTCTAAATAAAATTTGATCAAAATCTACCCATTTAGATTGCATAAATCACGATCGGCTTCTCATTAACATGTATGTACATATATTATTGAAATTTTTTTATATAGATTTTTCTCCTCATTTTTAATCTTCTTCATCCATATAAAGGATGAGTTTTACAAACAAAAATACCCAAAAAAACTAAACACTTTCTTCTTGATTTTTTTCTTTTTTTCTCAAGTCTCCCTTTTCCAATCATGCCAGACCACCCCACCCCTTCTGTGGACGAACATTCAAATCCTCCAAACTTTACAATAAATATATTATCATGATATTTTATAATCTAATCTATTTAGATCGTATAAATTATTAATAGACTTCTCATTAATATGCATATGTACTATCCAAATTTCTTTATATTTATTTAATATTTTATATGAATAAAATTTTAAATATATTTTTACATTTTTAAAAATTTTGGATAATTTTATATCAAACGTGAGTATTCTTTAAAATATTTTAATGATCTATGATATTTGAAAATTAATTTCAATTTTATTAAATTTTCTAACTTATTAGTTTTGATATGATTTATTTATTATATAAGTTCTCTAAAATTAAATTTATATTATCTATAATTTATTGTTTTGAATATAAATATTAGACCAAACTTACTTTTAATTAATTTTAAATTTTGAGACATTTAATGTGGTTATCTATTTATTTTTTATTAAAAAATAGTTTATAAGTTTATTTTAAAACTCTCAATTTAACTATAATACGACATTACCAATATGAGGTAAAAATTGGTATATAACATTAGTAATATGTTATTTCTGGGACATGATACAGATATATTATCACCTATTCTATAGAGGATAGTTACAATGTAAGTGGTCCGAGAATTAAAATACTCTCTATAGAAATATTTTTTAAACTTGAAATAATTTTCAACCTATAAAACTCCAAAATTTCCATTAAGAAATCCCCTCTTCCTCTATTTCCCAATTGTTGTCTCTCTCTCTCTCTCTCTCTCTTATTCGACCTCCATTTTATCTCTTATTTTGCCTTGCGCCTATCACTTTGTTTCTATAACTCTCAAAAACCTAGAAAAAGAAATGTCTCATTCCTTCTTTGTTTTTTAGCTTCACTCTCGAATGTTTTTTTCTCCAACTCACCAAAACTTGAACTTTCATTTTTTTTAGTCAAAAATAGATTTTTCTCCTCATTTTTTCAAATTTTTACTATCCTCACTTTCAGTTTTTTCATCCTTCTTCATCCATAAAAATAATTTTTACAAATAAAAATACCCAATGACTAAACACTTTCTTCTTAGAGACCCTCCCCCAAATCATGCTAGACCTTTTTTATGGACTAACATTCACCATCACCCTGCGCAAAAATCCTCTATATCCTCTTCATCGCTCTTTTTTTTTTTGTTGCAAGGATTCATGAATCCTAAAAATCCTCCTCTTTTCCTCTTTTCATGTGTCTACTCCTCTTTAGACCCTATCCAAGTCACTAAAGCTTCTAGAGAAAAGAGAAGCATGCCTTTTTTATAATGTCATAAACTTAGAGGTAGACACATTAGAACATTTGCATAGTTATATAAAAATCCCATAAATATGCAAGACTTGAAATAAATCTTAAACGTAACTATTTGAAAATTTAATAATCAGTAAGTCCTCTAAATCGAAACTTTACCTCATAGCTCGAAATTAAACTCCCTAAATAAGATAATTTTTCAATCCAAATACAAAATTGAATTAATATATTTTAACTCTCTAAATCAGAACCTTTGGTCACTCAAAACATTCCATGTTCCTATCTGCAATTTATTCTTTAATATTTATAAATAAAAAAAGATGAAGTAAGCTCATAGCTCAGAGAATTAAAAAAAAATTGAAGTTATTTGGATAAAATACATTTGAATAGTTATAATCAAATAGATTTAATATATAGTAAAAAAATATATATAGTAGTAAAATAATTTTATAAATTTTTTAATTCATGTAAGATAAACTCATTTAACATTGACAAAATGCAAATAAAAGTTTTATAGTCCTTAATAGCAACGACTACATTGTATCCACGTGGCAAAACTCAAAATCAGATCTAATATCTAGGATGTAGGCCAAATAAATATCCTTGTATCATAACCAAATCATATTTATCCTTTATGGTGTAGGGGTCTAAACAAAAAAGTATATTTTTAACATATTCCAATGTTTACCCCTATTCATAGGGTCAAATCATAGTTGCATTGAGAGTTTCAAAATAACCTCATAAATCTTTTAATATTCTTACTTGAGGCAATTAATTTCATCAAATATCTCTATTGAACAAAATAATGGAACTTGTTAATTTTGATAAATGATATAAATTTATTTTTCGCTAATGATGTCTTGTAAGTTATTGAGTTTGCATGACAAATTTGACTCAAAAAAGATGAACAAACTGAGAAAAGAGCATCAAATGAGAAGACAAACAATTAAAGACTAAAAGAGTAAAATTATTTTAGAATTATTTATCTTTATTGTAAATTTAGGGAACTTATGACTTAAGGCTCAAGAAAATTTTCTTTAAAAATCTCTTTAAAAATTTCTTCAAATTAAATTTTTAATATTTTTAAAGAGATTAGACTTAAGAAAAATTATTTTTGAAATTGGATTTATATATCAAAGAAATTTTAAAAGTAAAAGATTTTATGAGAATATCTATATGTGTAATAGTAGAAAATCGTCTCTATATGTTCAAAAGATATCGCTTTTAGATACTAATATAACTTCATGAGTGATACAATAAAACACAATTCAAAATATATAGAAAAGTACACTTTTGATGTCACATGTGATTGTTCCATGTGCTTAACTTATATCTTAGCACAAATAATACCAATTTTTAAGTTAAAATATTATTTTAAACATTATAAGTATTAGAAAAATCATATTTTAAAAGTATTAAAGAACACAATGTGCTGTCAAGAAAAATAATATTTGCTAAAAATAACTTGTTTAGAGTTAACTATCATTTTAAGGTTAAGTTGCCAATATTTCAAACATATATAACATAAAATTTCTTGCACTTTTGGAGAAAATTCTATAGTACTTTTTTGAAGCTCAAACCGATTTCAAATTATCTCTAACAACTATTTTTACATTCTTGTTTATAAATACTGCCTCCAATAGATTTCAAATAGAGAAGGAAATTGAGCATAAAAGTGTCATTCAAAAAGAAAAAATCTTATTCATGTTTTTGAATCTTCATCGAGCCATTAAGTGAGTTGTTTATTTGTGTATCTATTTTTAAGAAAAGAAAACTGTAATGTATTTATCATTATTCTTTTGGGGCATTTTG